GAAAAGAATCTTATAACGTCTTTTCGAAGTTGCAGTGCCTGTTGTGCAAATCCCTTCCATGAGCCCTGGTCTTTTGGGGTGGACGTACACGTGTAAGAGCGGTAACCAGCCTCGACAGGACTGAGCAATCGTTGTTGCCCCATTTTTGAACATTTCCGCGCCCGGTACGGCGAGTAGAAAACCAGCTTTAGCAACCGAGTACGGAGTGCGGGGTATATGCACGACTAGCCACATGGTCATGTCATAATCGCGGATGCCTAAGTTGAGTGCCTTTTTATCAAGAGTAACCGGCAAGGCTATAAGGTACAAAGTCGTCGTCATGTAACGACAGCCCTCAGGACTCCATTTCTTCAGATAAGATGCCTCCTGAGACTCGAACACTTCAATCGTTCGACATCTAGGAACCGGGCTGGGGAGTTGGGTTGTATTTGACCCCTGCTAAGCTAACATCTGCCTTCCCCAGTCTTTATATCCCCTCAGTCGGTTCGTGGTCTCGGCGTCGTTGAAGGTTTTGATTTTATGGTTATATTCACATTCGTCATTTGCAACCCAGGCTCTATAATTTGAGACTCTGATAGATCTATACAGGCATTTATCACTCTTTTCTTGGAAGCACATAGTGCTCCAGGCACCAAGTATGCGCCTTTTCACTCGGTACCGCCCTTTTTGTTGTCGTAGCTAACTCAGACTCCCCTGCATAAGCCAGCGCGGCATCGGATACCAAGAAATCGGTATTGCTGACTCTCGAATCCATGCTAGTTCTTGGAGATCTTCTGAAAAGCGATCCCGTCATGAACATCATGTTGTCAGACATGCTACCACATAAACTCCCAACGACTATGGCTATATTGTTGTCAATCCTGGTCCGGCATAAGATCTGGTCTGTGCTAACCTTGCCATTTCTGGCTGTAAGGTCTTGATGATCGATGCCGGTATGGAGTCAGGAAATGCCCGACATTTATAGTTCTAGAACTTCATTTCATGTTGGCTAAGTTCGAGAACGTAGGAAGGATTGACTTTTTAAGCGCTTTAGTGTTAAAGCTACTGCAGAGATAATTTAAGATAGGTCACACACTAGTTTAACCCCAAGTAGTAGAATAGAGATTACAGGAGAACGCACCAAAGGACCGAGGGAAGCATCTATGTTGGTATGGGTCCACCAGTTGAGGGAAAGCTACTTCATGTTTGGGACACACTTAGTCAATCGAGTGAGTGAAGGCTATACTTACTACAGTCCACTGGCCACAACTAATTTGATTCGTGGTGTTCACCACAGACTCGATTTTGAACACTACCGGCGTATCTCGAAAGTACCACCTCGAAGTAAAACTTGACACTCTCGGACGTGGATGGCCTTGATCAACTCCTTATAACATGTCGCGCGGTGCTTTATCGGGTGGGAAAAGTCATAGGAAAACGGCTTTAATTTCTACGTGTGAGGTTGCCTAAGCTAAAGCGTAGAAATACGTAGACAACGCGTAGGTCCAGTTAGTAGAGCACTAGAATAAGTTCATTCTAGGCTCTAGTCACCAAAACACCTGCCTGTTCAGACCACAATACAGAGTAAAGAACAACAAGTTTCTAATAGTGTTGCAATACCTGTGGGCAGCTGGGTGCCAGCGGCAGCTAGCGGCAGCGGCCCCGGCCTAGCATTCGACTGGAACCTCTTCACCGCCACTATCACATCCCTACCCCAAGGTACCCGCAGGAAGGGCTCGATCAATGGTCACAATTCCTTACCCTCCTACCGATAGAGCAGAAAGACCCCAGATCCAACAGATCCTTACCTCTGAAGCATGATGGGCCAGTCAGCCTCAAGGCCAAGTGTTTCTCCCCGCGCAGGAAGTACGAATAGCCTGATCGGGATGTCGGTAGACCGGCCACACTGTATCATTTCCAGTCGCACGTGCATTTATCCCTCAGGTATTCGTACCTATCACTTTCTATAGCAGCTTAGGCTAAATGCAAGTTGGCGCGTCTCGCTGTGCCAAGTAATAGCTTAGGAAGACCAGTTACTGATATGGATCGTCTAGGTACTCTTAGCGCCAACACTCATCAACTCCGTTGATCAAGGAGCGGGGCCTGTCCTAGGTCACAAACGTCAAATCCATAACCTCCTCGGGATGTAGGCAGTAAGACTCCTCCTGAAGCCCTACGTATTAGCACCCTGGTTTGAACCCATACACTTCGTAACTGGATGTACGACGAGCTAGTGGCAAGTACTTCATGGAACACCAGCGGCAAGAAGCCCGGTAGCTCGTCAGGCAGGGATTATCCTTCAAAAGTGACATGACCCAGCTGCCCAGTAATGGCAGACCCATCTAACCCTTATTCCCCTGGAAAATGTTGCATCTATTGGTCAGAACATAAGGGGCGTAAACTCTTATTGGTTCTACCCCGCATGGGCTCATAAGGATACCGGTACAACGATTAATGTAGTACCAGTACAGAGTAGTAGTACTGGTATCCCTCGAGAACAACATGCTTACAAGCATTATGGTTCCATTGGAAGTGCAACCAACCATTCTTCGCAGTGTACATCATAGAACTTCGTTTTGGCTTATATCTTCTAGATACCACAAAATGGTTAAATTTCAGGGACATCGAGGCATTGTTGAGCTACTGGCTGAGTTTGATGTGATAGCAAACTATTGTTGGCTAATTATATATCGCACTACCCAGCCAGCCCTTGGGCAGCCACCACAAATCTTTGACCATTGTTTAGGGAAATTTCTACCCCTATCGTAAGATATACCGGACTTTGGGATCTGTTACCAAAACCGTCAGTCATCTCTGTAGGTGTCGACCCTCGATCGAGTTTCCTGTAGCATCCGTATCGATAAGCATGACGAGCAATGCTGCAGAGCCTTCGCCGCCCCTCGGAGCGACTGCAGACGATATTGAAAACCGGCAGAATGGAGGAGAACGGAGCGAAGAGCAGCAACCGACTGCGTACATGCAAGGATGGGCCCTTGCGTCTCTGACTTTCGCCTTCATGGCCATTTGTTTTGTGCTAGCACTCGATAATACCATCTTAGGTTTATAAACTGTCTCCTTTGACCTCAGTAAATGACCAATGCATTAACATAATATCTGTAATAAGCGACCGCGATACCCCAGATCACTAGCGACTTTCAGAGCCTCAACGACATCAGTTAGTATGGCTCCTCTTACTTGATTGCGTAAATGGCACTATTGCCTACCTGCGGCTATCTTTATGCTTTTTATAATATTAAATAGGTTTGTTGTATATTGCTCTTTGTCTTTGAAGTTGGCTCTGTTGTCTCTGCCGTTGCACCTAACTTAATGGCTCTTATCATTAGAAGAGCTGTTACTAGCATAGGCGCTGCCGGGTTGGTAAGCAGGACTACTATAATCCTGTTATACTGTGTCCCATTAAAGAAGCAGGCAAAACTATCGCTAGTCATTCTAGGCCTGTACAGCACCGGATCAGCCATAGGCCTACTTGTAGGCAGTTCTATAACTGACAACAAGACGCTTACTTAGTGATTCATCTTCTAGCTTAATCTCTGTAAGTGTCTTGCCTACAATCTATCATCTTCCTAATCATAATAGCATATCTAACAAGCCCTAGCCTTCAGAGCTGTTAGTCTAACTCTGATTTAGTTCTCCTTAAGGAAGCCTCTGCCTACCGTAAAGGGCAGACTGCTATAGACAGACAAGATACGCCAGCTTAACATCCCAGGCGCTATTTTACTGCTTAGCACAACATTGTGCTTAAACTTAGCTCTGCAGTGGGGTAGAATTATCTACTCCTAGTCTTACCTAAGGGTATTCAGGTGCCTAATAAGATTTAGGCTGCTTTTTGTCTCCTTTGTGTACTTACAAGCCTAAGGCAAAGAAACATAAGTTTTAAAGGATGCACACTTCTAAGGTCACATTTAACTTATCTACTAATACTCTCCTAGTGCTACTGTTCCTCTTTGCATTTTCCAAAGCCGTACTGTTACTGCATTATGTAGTTTCATAATGCTTGTCCAGGTAGCTATAGTACTGCACTCGTACTACTAGCCAATATACTTTCAGTCAGTCAAGAACAACAGTGCCAGAGACTCAGGCGTTTATCTGCTTCCTATCATCATGTCTAATAGCCTTGGCACAATCTGCGCAGGCTAGATTTCGTCGAAGTCTGGACATTGCGTGCCGTTGATGTGGATCAGTGCCCCCGTCCTAGCCATCAGAGGAGGCATTTACCAGCTTATGCACCCCACAAGCTCACGCAGGCAATAGATAGCGTCCCAAATCATATCCAGGCTTGGTTACGGAATGTGTAGCCAGATGCCAATACTCGCAGTCCAAGTCGTTCTCAGCAAGGTAGATGTGCCAACAGGCCTTGTGACCGTCATGTTCTTCCAGATGCTTGGGGGCGCCCTGGCCCCCAGCGTCGGGCAGAACCTCTTCACGGACGCCTTGCTGCGGCTGCTCGGTCGGGTCGAGGGGATCGATGGCGCGGCAGTGGTGGCAGCGGGTGCTGGGGAGTTCAGGAAGATCGTCCCCCCAGAGCTGCTAGACGCCGTCGTCGAAGCCTTCAACTCTGCTTTAAAGAACGTCTTTTGGGTTACCCTTGCTACCCCGGCCCTTGCTTGGGTTGTAAGCTGGGCCATGGAGTAGCAACAGATACCCAACACCAAGAGTTCAGCTACTGCAGCCTCAGCCGAGGAGGTTTTGGAAAAGTAGTTTAGTTTCATTAGCAAAATTGCAGTTTAAGACAGAACAGCTACCACCCTGATATTTAAACTACTACTCCAGCTATCATCTACGCTACATACGCCAGGCTCAATACCAGAAACCCAAGGAAATATCAGTCCTACGTTCAAATCTTCGTAATTCTCACATTAGTCAGACATTGATTTCTGTAGACTTGTGGCAAGAATATAATAGATCCTTCGATGTTCACTGCAACAGCTCAAAAGCTAGTCACTGAAATTTGGAAACATAACTCCTATTCCCACGACATCGTCATTGTTTCACTTCAATTCTTAAGTGTCCGCTGTCCTAGTCAACTTACTACCGTTGTTCATCGTAAAGTAGACGTAGACGTCCACAATAGGTCCAAGAAAATCCATGAGCAGGAACGCCCACACCTGACGTCTGCAATATGGATACTTTTTGAGGAATGCTCTGTACGTTGAAACCTATCCGCCCCATCTACACACCATCTAGAGAATAAAAGCATACCTGTTGTAGCATATCCATCAGACCAAGTGTGATGATACAGTGCAGGACAGTAGATGGACTTACGCGATCCAAGGTGCTGCGCGAAGAGTCTGTAGCCAAACCCCAGCGTATGCCAAGGCCCAAATGGGTCGAGCGAGCCGCTCAATCATTTCGAACGTGGTGTATAGATGTCTCCTAGCGGTGTTACGTTAGCCTGCGAGCACCAATGATCCAGCGCCGGAGCTCGCCCGTTCATGCCTGGAATGAAGTACAACTTACTGCATCAGTTTTCGGAATCCAGGATACACGGAGATGTACCCCAGAAAGGTGCGAAAGTTCCCTCTGTCCCAGCGAAGAATTTGCCAGGCGAACCTGTGATCATGCGTGATGTTGGTGGTGATCTCGGCTTCGAGCACATTCTGGATGGACACTTTCCATCCGCGATCAAATACCCACCCGGTTAGGACGACGTCGTCAGCAGTATTCACCATCCTACGGCCGATGACCTCTTGCGTGTGGGCTTTAATGAAGGACGGGTCCTGTAGAATGCTGGCACGTATGAGCAACGTTCGTGCCGACAAACACCAGCAGCCTCCGTCTGCTGCGAAAAGCACCTCTCGGGAAGCCTTCCACTGGCACAGGTCAAACGTCGAAGTGGCTTCCCAGGCCGTGATAACTCTAGAGCTCTGACGCTCGGGCGGGACTTCGGCACTGGAATCTCAGTCAATTTATCGTTTCGTTAGGGATAGGTATTAGCTGGCTGGCTTGTGTGAGCGGACCTTTGTATGCCGGCAACCGTGCCGACCTTGGTATCCCCGAACGGAGCTAAGAGGTAGGGGAGAACACCTTCGGCCCGCCAGTAAACGTCGTCGTCCACAAGGGCGAGAATGCTGCCTCTAGCAGCCTTGACGCCCACCACCAACTGAATGCGTTTGTTGGCCAGTGGCGCGCAGAGGATGACAACCCTGTCGGCATTTTCCTTGAGAGGCTCAACCAGCCGCTCGACGCGGTCTCTGTTCCGCTTCACAGTCACGATGACGATCTCCCGCGCATTAGGCCCAAGCCAGAGACGCAAGCACTCGGTGAAGGTCGACTCGGTGATGCTCACGTCTTGCTAGCTGTAGCTAGACTTCTCGGGCAAAGGTACGGGTTTGTACTTTTTGGAGTTATAAGATATAACGGCTTTGTAGCATAAACTCCATGCCCTGAACGTAGAACTGGTCAAAAACCAGACCGATATTTGTATTTCGTACATAAACTTACCACAAAGCTGCAAGAACCAAAGCCATTTCGAAAGCTGATGTTTGATTTTGAGGAGAGTCGGAATTAACTAATAGATTAGCCCCCTCTTGTAACTAACGTGTATGCATAGCAAGTCGGACAACATAGCAAGCTAGACACTTTTTCTTCCTATTTTCTATTTCTCAAAGTCTAGGAAGCTATATTGTACAACTTTAATTGAAACTAGTTATTATCCTCTTCTTTAGTACTTTCCTAAACTACCTAACATGTTTATACGTTATGCCCTGTGTTTCTGTAATTACTATATTACTAAACGCACACTTTGCTCTCCTCTATACAAGAACCCTCTATATACATATTATTACCTCTAGTGTTAATAATCCCCTTCTTAACCTACATGCGATGCTGGCGAAGGCATCGCGGCATAACATCATTCTGATGTTTGACTGTCACCAGAACTTGCTTTACGAGAGCTGTGACAAGCTTCTAGCTGTCGTGGCGGAATTTCTAGAAGATTCCAACATTGACCATGTCAATTTTCGTTCCGGAACGGCTTCCTCCTTGGGATCATGGAGCGCTGAACAGATCAAGAAGAGCATCTATGCAACCTGCGCATTGCCATTCCGATCGTGTTCTAGTCTTCCGTGAACGAGGGCAAACGCAACCTATATCTGTGGCGCACCGGTCATGTTGTTGCAATAATTCCCCTGTGACTACGCTTCTGGCTCGCAGACTACTGAGCATATCATCCACGACCAAAGCCGCAACAACGCTGGAACTATCACCCTGCAATCGACTGACTATAGAGATATTCAGCTCATTGTCTTTATTCACAATGATAGTGGTGTCAGGAGCGGTGAAAAATGCCGACAAGGAACTCCAGACCACCTGAAGACTTCGATTTCACCTGTAAAGTCTCTGATAGTTCCACCACCTAAACAGCAGTTTCCCGGAGGTGTGGCCTGACAGAAGCTTTTCAGTAAATGTCTATAATAACTTACAGTCATAGCGTGAAGACTCAGCATGGCTGGGAGTCTTTTGTTAGCAAAGTTCATTCAAAGATAGCTAGCTGATGCAATCAATGGGACGAACAATGGTCTTCGAAGTTTAGCGTCAATATTAACAACCAATTCTCAAGAAAGGCTTCAAAACACCGGAATTGAACGTCCTCATCACTGCCAAGAGTCTGCCACTTCTTTAAACAGTATAGGTATTGATGCATAGGACCGAAGGTGCCGCGACTCGATGTCACGTGACACACCTTCCCACCAGCCATACGTACACCCTTGTGTCCAGCACTTTATATGGCCCTTCTTTCTTCGAATTGCAGCTATCCCCATGTTTTAACTGTTTTTACATATCTATATATGATTATGTTTCACCATCATGCCACCCGAAGAGCTTCTTGAGCACCTACACATCATGACTTTTTCATATTCCGAAAACCCCGGCAAAGTTACTGCCACTGACTTGTTGTCTATGCCTCTAGTCACTTCACAATCTTTACTCAATAGCATTGGTCTGTGGAATGTATAAGAAAACCCCCCTTTTATGTGTTTCACTCTCTATGAGCCACTTATGAGCGGGAACGGGGATCGGGAATGCTGGTTTCAGATCGGAGTAAAGCATGCCAGCACTCCAATTATGTATATAGCGACTAATACCCCAGATTCTCCTCATTCCAGTATCCAAATGACGTCGGTCACGTTGTAATGACCCACTGAGGCTCAAATGTTCATGGGTGTCATGTGTTAGTGACGGAGTATCTGGAATGACGGAGGTCTCGCATTGGATCCTCCACTCAAAGACCCTTATGCAGTGATCGACGTCGATCGGGTGAGGCTCTTGTACAATCACTGTGCTTTGTTACACAGCTGCTCAACGACCGTCTTCGAACTGGTCAACTCATAACCAATGTCTTGCACATTCAGGTCCGAATCCAGCATTATCCGGGTTTAACACCTTCCATACGTAGTTCCATCTAATTGATCTCCTTGGAACTAGAGAGTGAGTACAGCATGGCTATGCTAGAGTTGTAGAGCGTTTTGCGAACCTGCATGACATAATGAGAAAGCTTCGTAGGGCTAGCCAGCAAGGTACGTATAGAATGAAACGATATCCCGCCACTGAATTGTTGTCTTGAGACATGAGCGTACAGATACTCTTAAAGCTAAGAAATACCCAGGGAAAAGCCGCTTAATAAATGGGTGCATAAATCCACGGCTACGTAAGCTGGAAAGAGAAGTTTAGTGCATGAGCTGTGCCCTGCAAACACTCCAGAGGTATTTGGATAGTCACGAACGACTTTTTCGATGGGACTAGTGATTAAATATTTCATTGAGTTCATTTAGTAAACGCAAATATAGTCTAAATATGTGTCATTCGGACCTTGGGGAAGCCCTGGGCCAGGTTACCCACGCCAGAATATAGCAAGCTGCGGGATGAAAGAAATCCCCAACTCGTAATAGAACGAACGATATCGGCAAGCATGAGAGACGGAAGCGCATAGAAGAAAAATGGCTATCAGTCGAGAAGCCACGCGGCGGAACTCGAGAACGGATAGTTCGGGGTTGGCTTTGGAGCGGCAGAGGCCACGATCAATCACCCGGTCTAGAGTTATCTTTGGTGTACATGTGATTTTCAGAGGAGCTCACTCGACCAGGGACCGGCCCGAGGTCATTGTAAACAACAGAAAAAACGTTGCATATCCGTACAGTTCCCGGTTCCGGCTAAGCCGTCAACAAAATGGACCAAAGTGCGTGATGCTCGTGCATCGAGGCTGCGTTGCGACCCACCGCGATGGAATTGTTCGATCCACAATCCCATCACGAGATCAATATTGAAGAACCGCCAAGGATAGCTTTTACTGCTACCAACACAAAGATAGAGATTCGGAAACTGCCTGACCGTACAAACAAGCGAAAATTTTCCGCGCAAGTGGGGGAGGCGTCACCAAACGCTTACAAACAGGCGCAGCGGTATAGCTGACGATTATGGTTCTAGGATACTTGCATGGGCCAACTCCACAAAGCTCGTTGTTTTCTTCCCCACGGTTGGTGAGATTCCACAATTCTGCTGGGATCGAAATCCAAATGCGGCATTCATCCCGGGGGTGGATTCTGTGGGATTATTATGACGTATAATCCTATCACGAGACCTCGGCGTCCTGGGGACTGGCAATCAGCTAGACAGAGTTGGGCTCCAACGGCATCGTGCGCGGTTTTTAAGGTCTTGGCTGAGAGCCACCCTACGCTCGAATTGGACGACGAACTCGTGCCAACAGCCGTGGCTTTACCGGCGGCAGGCTTCTCAATGACACTTCATGGAAGCTTCTCCACCAAAAGCTCTCTTTCGAGCATAAGCACCGGACCTCCTCCAGGGGGTCCCCAGACGAAGAACAGGGCCGATTAGGCGTGCGGGGGAGCCGGGGGTGACATATGTTTCTCCCCGGTTTATGACGACCGGTTCCGTGGTGTCGGCTCCCGATCAAAGGGGACATGAACAAGTTCCCGTACAGAGATACTCGAGCCGCCATGACAAAGTGATTTCAGATCAAAACTTGCCTGTCCGGTGCCTCTAGTGCCGGCGTAATGTCGGCCCTCCACGATGGCCTTGATCCATAGCCCACTCATTCTGTCAGCGGGGAGCGGGGGAGCTGGGGTCAGGATGGGGACAGGAGCTCGATGGGACCTCTTTGCTTGAAGGCTGACTGAGTTTCTCGAGTTGGGACGGGGGTTCGCGCGGAACAAGCTTGAACAAGCATGGAGTCTCCATGTTCCCAGCCATCACCCGATCCGCATCCTCCACAAAACGTAAAATTACTCGTTTGCAGCCGTTGTTTCCCTCCCGAGAAGCGGGCATAATGCGACACGACGACCGAGGGCCACCGACACTGCGTCCTTCACAAACAACTGAGCCTGGACTACTACAGTGCAAGTCTCCTCACCACGACCGTGTTCTAAATCGGAAAGACACGGAGGTGTGGTAGGCAGCTAGCCATACAACCTTGTCGGTGAATCTGGAACTCCCCAATGACTCGGCATTCTTGGTCAAGACTTGACTATGCACCGGCGAATCTACGGCTAACAACCATGCCGGATAGCCCGCCTCTCTGCCTTGGCCCTGGTGAGGTCTTTCGAGCATCCAACGGTGTGGGGCCGACTTCGAGGAATGACGATGCCGATGCGGGCTAACCAGTTCAAGAGCGATCATGCTCAGGTCGCTCGGACTTGCAAGGTCCCGCGCGGAGCTGATGGAGAGTCAGTCGGATTCCTCGGACCGTAGGAGACGGGGATATGGTGGACTAATGCTGGTGTGCCGTGGATGAGGATTTGACATATAAAGGTAAGCATGTAACGCCCGATCTCGAAAGCTCAGATGCCTCAGCACAAGCACGAGGCCTCAGTTCAAAGGATATCACAATGTCCGCCGCCCTGTCTCTCTTCTTTTCCGGCCTTCTGTTGGCGCCTTCGGTCATCGCTCAGGCGTATGATGCTGGAGAACGAGCCAGCGATGCCTTCAGCTATGTCCAGCCGCTGAACACCACCATCCTCGGACCCTATGGCCACTCCCCGGCCGTCTACCCTTCCCGTGAGTGCCTTGAAACCGAGATTGAACGAGGAACTGAGCTGACCCTTAACGAAGCGAACACCACGGGCAACGGTTGGGAGGATGCCCTGGCCAAGGCTCGGGCTTTCGTCGCCCAGTTGACGATAGAGGAGAAGGCCGACATGGTCACTGGCAAGCCCGGCCCTTGCGTTGGAAATATCATCTCCGTTCCTCGCCTCGGTTTCCAAGGTCTCTGCCTCCAAGACGGCCCTCTCTCCATTCGTGTGGCCGACTATGCTAGCGTCTTCTCCGCGGGTGTGTCTGCTGCCTCCACCTGGGACAAGGACATTATGTACGAGAGAGGCCTCGCCATGGGCAAAGAGTTCCGGGCCAAGGGAGCCCACATTGCTCTGAGGTCGGTTTTACAATCCTACATGTTCTGTTCTCTAGCTTCGAGTGTCACTAACCGTCAAACAGCCCTGTTGCTGGTCCCCTTGGAAGAAGCGCTTACTCTGGACGCAACTGGGAAGGTTTCTCTCCGGACCCGTACCTGACCGGTGTTGCCATGTACGAGACCATCACTGGCCATCAGGATGCCGGAGTCCAGGCCACCGCTAAGCACTGGATCCTGAACGAGCAGGAGACGATGCGCAACCCAACTTTCGACCCCAACGGCACCACCACCGACATTGTCGAACAGGCTCTCTCTTCCAACGTCGACGATCGCACAATCCATGAACTATACATGTGGCCCTTTGCTAATGCCGTCAAGGCACGTGCCGCCTCTTTCATGTGCTCGTATCAGCGCATCAACGGCTCGTACGGCTGCCAAAACTCCAAGTCTCTCAACGGCCTGTTGAAGACTGAGCTCGGGTTTAATGGCTACGTCATGTCTGACTGGGGAGCGTGAGTTTCCTAACCTGCAATGTCATACTATGATGAACCGAATGATACTAATATGTCGAATAGTACGCACACTGGTGTTGCTGCCATTGAGGCGGGTCTTGACATGGACATGCCTGGTAAGAAACACCAAAAACGCGTTCATTTCTGAAAAGGGAACCACTAACATGTTCACAGGTGGTCTTGGAATGTACGGAACGAACTGGGCAAGCGGCTCTTTCTTCGGTGGCAATGTCACCATTGCCGTCAACAACGGCACCCTCGATGTCAGCCGCGTCGATGACATGATCGTCCGCATCATGACCCCCTACTACTGGCTCGGCCAGGACAAGGACTTCCCCACCATCGACCCCTCGACCGCCGACCTCAACACCTTCTCCCCCAAGTCCACGTGGACCCACGAATACAACCTCACTGGCGAGCGCAGCCGTGACGTCCGCGGCGACCACGGCGAACTGATCCGCAAGCACGGCGCCGCCGCCACCATCCTGCTCAAGAATGAGAACAAGGCCCTCCCTCTCAAGGCGCCCAAGTCCATTGCTGTCTTTGGCAACGATGCCAGCGAGGACACCCAGGGCCTCCTTAACCAGAACAACTTCGAGTACGGCACCCTCGCCGCCGGTGGTGGTTCCGGTACCGGTCGTCTCACCTACCTCGTCACCCCGCTCGAGGCTATCAAGACCCGTGCCGCCAAGGATGGTGCCCTCGTCCAGCAATGGCTTAACAACACCCATATCGCAACAGCCAACATCACCAGTCTCTGGGTCCCCAAGCTTCCCGAGGTCTGCCTCGTTTTTCTAAAGACCTGGGCCGAGGAGGCTGCCGACCGCCAGCACCTCGATGTCGACTGGAACGGCAATGACGTCGTTGAGAACGTTGCAAAGAACTGCAACAACACAATCGTCGTCACCCACTCCTCCGGCATCAACACCCTCCCCTGGGCTGATCACCCTAACGTCACAGCCATCCTTGCCGCGCACTACCCCGGGCAGGAGTCCGGCAACTCCCTCGTCGACGTCTTGTACGGCGATGTTAACCCTTCCGCCAGACTTCCCTACACCATCGCCCTGAATGGCAGTGACTACAACGCCCCTCCCACCACTGCTATCAACACCACCGGCTCTTACGACTGGCAGAGCTGGTTCGATGAAAAGCTCGAGATCGACTACCGTTACTTTGACGCCCGAAACATGTCCGTCCGCTACGAGTTCGGCTTCGGTCTCAGCTATACCACCTTCGAGCTTACAAATTTTGAGGTCAGCCCCGTCGAGGACAACATCACTAGCGCCCCCGAGCAGCGCCCCATCGAGCCCGGTGGCAACCCTGCCCTCTGGGACACCATCTTCAACGCCACCGCCTCCGTCACCAACACTGGCGAAGTCGAGGGCGCCGCTGTTCCCCAGCTCTACGTCACCTTCCCCGCCGACACCACCCCTGCCGGCACTCCTCCCAAGCAGCTCCGTGGCTTCGAGAAGGTGCCCCTCGCCGTCGGCGAGACCAAGAACGTCGGCTTCCCTCTGATGCGTCGCGACCTCAGCTACTGGGACGTCGTGTCTCAGGAGTGGCTCGTCCCCGCCGGCGAGTTCACGCTCAGCGTGGGCTGGAGCAGCAGGGACTTGAAGGCGTTCGCTAAGATCACTCCGGTGCAGGCGTGAAGGTCTTTCCCCCCCAGCATTTCTATAAGGAGAGGGGAAATATACGATGCATGAGTTATGACTTTTTTTGTAAATATTAGTAATATCTGGACAGCAGAAAGATAAAACAATTTCCTGTTAAAATTTTCATCTGTGGCAACTCAGAATACTATGTGCTTAGGGATGGGATTTGATGACATGAGGTTCCTTTGAACTAGGCTGAAAGGGGTTTATGGCGTTCGTCGTCAAACGCGTGATGTATTTGAAATGCCACAGACCAGTCCTTTGTCCTTTCCCTTTCGTATTGAAAACGCCACCAGAGCCTAGTAGAAAGTATATAGAAAGTAGCCATGGCTTTTCCGATGTGATGCCACTTGGGCCGAATCGAGTCAAGACGACAATGCCAAATGGCAAGCGGTTTAGGTAGTCTATGTCGCCAACTATCGGATAAGCAATCTCAAGGAAAACGCGTGATTTCGCTGGCGGTGCTCTACCCGATGGACTCATTTCATCCAATGTAAACGTTACTCTTTTCGGCATGGGGGCCAGGGCTTCCGAGCAATCCGGCTGCGCAAGGGTCATTGAAGCATCCTTTGGCCAACTTCTAGCTTCAAGCCTCATGGTTCAGACGATGCCGTCACAGCAAGCTTCCGGCACCCTCTAGCCGAGGGCAACTGCGTTTAGAACGCGGACTTCCCCAAGTCCATGGTAGACAATGTCGGCATACAATAACCTTCTTTGCCCTACTGGCGGGCATTTGAGTGCGCAATTGCAACAGTCCTTTGCTTGGTCTCCTTACGTTCGACGACATGCAAGATGATGGCTCCCGAGGAGGACGACTTTCTTGAGAAGGCTTCGGGCGCGGGCTTGTCTTACTCGACCACAGTTGCAAGCGAACACATGGACTTGGTAAGAGCATGCTCTCTACCGTGATATTCAGCGAGGGTACCGCAATGGGTCGCTAACAGATGGAAGATGCAGCGGGTGTTGTTCCATCTGAAGACGCTCTATCTGTTCACAAAGAGCGATGTCAAGATCGTGCTCGTGCCCCAGGTCATCTTCATCACCTCGGCGATGCTCAGCCGCGAGCGTCTTACGACGGTTCCCAGCCAGACGGTGGGCGAGGCTCTACAGCGGCTGCCCCTGGCCATCTTGTGGATATGGGTCAACCTCATCGTGTGCGGCATCTCGAACCAGCGTCTGGAAAAGTCCGTGATCGAAGACGAGCACAACAAACCGTGGCGCCCGATCGCCGCGAAACGACTCACCGCCGAACAAGCGCGCAAGCTGCTCCTGGGCATGATTCCGTTGGCGGTCGGCATGAGCGCGGCTCTGGGCGGGTTCAAATCCACCGTGTCGATGATGACGCTGCTCTGGATGTACGACGACCTCGACGGCAACGCCTACATCTGGGGGCGCAACGCCCTCAACACGTGTGGCATCATGTGCTTCGGCTCCGGGTCGCTGGAGGTCCTCTCGCGGGGAGAGCTGCTTCCCACATCGTGGGGCTGGATCGGTTTGACGGGGGCCGCGATCGCGACGACGGTCCAGGCCTTGGACTTCCCGGACATGGAGGGGGACAGAGCGCGGGGTCGGAAGACCGTCCCGCTGCTGTACGGCGAGAACGTCGCCCGCGGCGGTCTCGCGGCGATGGTCCTATTCTGGTCGGTCGCGTGCTCTATGTTCTGGGACCTCCAACCCGTCTTCTGGGGCGCGCCTGTCGGCGTGGGAGCCATGGTGGCTGCGTTGACTATGCTAAGGCGGAATGAGAAATCTGATGGTGTTGTGGCGAAGTTATGGTGTTTGTGGATGTCCGTTTTGTACATGCTACCACTCCTTGCTTCATAATGATACACGGAGAATGAACTGGGAGTAGGCTTGTCAGAGGCATTGGACCCGAAAGGTGATGAGAAAGGCCTGCATTGTGAGGCGTCATGGAGTCTTGTGAAACTATTTGGGAAGCCAGGCCATATTCGGTGGCCTTCAAAGTACATTCGATGGTTTTCAAAGTTGAGAGTTCGGGGATGTATGCAACCCACGGCTCGCCGGTGGCTGGGTTACTCGATTTTCATATATGATACCTGCTGAAGCAGTGTTCTTATTTTTGTCGTGTTGTGTATACAATATAGATGAGTTGGTGTGTAGTTACAATTCTTCTACTGCTTGCAATGAGAAACCTATTGTGAAGCACAAAAATGTTTCCTCCATTTGCAACACGTCATTTACATCTAGTCTCTATTTCATGAATATATGACCTTGAACGGCGAGTACTGCAATAGGGGATCATCGACTCGGCATTCATTGAAGCGAAAGCCGAGGGAAGATTGCAGCAAGTATAATGGGATTGCATGCTAGGGTGCAGCCTATGGGCTTCCGTTTCCTCCGACCGACCAACACCTACTGGTGGACAAGAGTACATCCGTCAAACCAATGCCGGTTGCTGCATGCAGATGCAGCGTGCCACTTCAGCACCAGCGAGCCGCAATCCTGCGTGGTGTTGCTGCCATACTACCGAGTACTCCAGTTGTCTATCAACGCTACATGTTCTTCTCATGAGCTCCCGTTTTATCAGGGCGGGGAAGTAGGAAGGGGCGGGACTATAGTGATGCAAATTGGTACATAACAATCGCGTGACATCGACCAAAGCCTCAAGCTTTCCGCGGGTTGAATATCTCCCACCATTCAAAGTATTTAGTGAAGCATTGCTGCGCCTTGAGAACTTGGCAAGATGGTTCCCGCGGAAGTAACTTTGATATTGATAGCCTCAACCGTCGTTCTTGCTTCTCCGGTGACAAGTTTTGTTCCTTTTAGTTGGAAGAGCACAGAGTATGTGTAAGTAGCTCCCCATCAGCTTTCCCGTGCAGTATCCTTTGCGAATAAATCATTTCTGACATACACATACATAGGCTCACTTTTGGCGACTCGTACACGTTTATTCAAGGGACTGAAGGCCGTTGGGCGTACAGCTTTATCGAATCTCAGCTGAACATCTCGTTCACTTCAAAACAGCTTCTTAGCGACCGCATCGTCCCAGGCCAGAACACGTCTTCGGCTGGTGGTTCCAATTGGGTTCAAGAACTTACTGGATGCAAGGAGGGACACCCTCGAGACTGCGAGAAGCAGCTGTGGGGCTTTGCCTACGCGGGAGCTGACGTCTCAACAACATTGTGAGTGGAAGGCTTTAGGCTCAGTGGCCAGTTTAATAATATTGCACCAGTGTTCCGCTCCATTGGAATCACACCATATCGTATGAGAATCAGATCTACCAATGGGACACCTACGGAAAGCCGGTCATTGGAGCTGAGACCACCAGGACGCTGGTGGCATCGTGGATTGGGATCAACGACATCAACGATATGGCCAATTTCAAATTTCCTTATAATGGCTTGAGCACTTGGCAAGAATTGTATACCGCTGTTATCGCTGAGCAGTTTTCTGCTCTTGAAGCCGTGTACAATGCTGGCAACCGCCACTTTCTCTTCCTGAACCTGCCACCACTTGACAAAAACGTACGAAAGCCTTCATCAGTCGGATATTTGTTGGTCTACGTGTTGACTAGCACGCAGCCTGCTTCCCAGTCCAACCCAGCGAGCCTTCCAAGCACGCAGATGATCAAGACATACAACGATGTCGTCAACCAGACAGCCAAGATCTTCTCAGAGAAGCACCCTGACTCCACGGCCTTAGTTTTTGATGCGTACAAATGGCTCACTCAGATTTTCGACGACGCGGCGTCTTTCAACATCACCAACACCACATCCTTCTGCCCCGCTTACAAGGCTTGGGACATCGACACGAACTATGTCACCTACGGCTGCCAGCCCATTGGCCAGTACTTTTGGTACAACTCTGGCCACGTTACATATAGCGTGCATAAAGTTTTGGCCGACAAGGTTGAAGAGTTTCTGCTTCGAAAGAGCGTTGGGCACTGCGGCGGCACGAACTCAACAGAGTCCGCGTGGGGAACTCGATGGATTAACGGGAAAGTCACTTAATACAAGTATAAGTCCTACCAGCATGAGCGCACAAGAAATCATCATTCCTCGGTTTGGCATTGGCATCTCAAAGCGCTGGTTTTGCGCAGTCATTGGCGCTTCTGGGCCGTGTTTCTCCTTTTTTCCTCTGGCCGACTGACAACTTCATCAGACTCTCTGTTGGGCAGTGTTCTAGCCATGCTGCAGATACCCGGCCAACTATACAAACACACTCCATGAAAGGTTCCTATTGCCGGACTGCCGCCGGTGAGATTTGGAGCTACTTGTGCCAGGATAGGAAGGTCAATGTCTTCATCGAATCAGCACCCCCGAAGCCGGAAACGCCCCCACCCCCTCTCTCTCTCTCGTTTGTGATTCTTCCAGTCGAGATATGACCAACGCGTCACGTCTTACGCACAGGGGCATCGTAATCATCTCCGTTAAAAACACGGGAAGTCTCGCCGAATTCTAGAGTTTAATTCTTCCTGCTCCAACTTGGCATCCGGCATTCAAGGCTAAGATGTTGTCCTCCGCTTCGTTGTTGGTCGGCGGGCTTATCGGGCTTGTGACCGCGCAATTCCCGCCCACTCCGGAAGGGATCAAAGTGCTGAAGTCCAAATTCCACGAAAATGTGACTATTTCCTACAAAGAGGTAAGCTTTACATCGCTTGTGGACGCCAATTCATCCGCCCCATTGACCGCTCTCTGGTAGCCTGGGATCTGCGAGACGACGCCGGGGGTCAAGTCGTACGCGGGCTACGTGCGGCTGCCGCCTGGTACTCTGGACGACATCGACGGGGAAGCGCAGGACTACCCCATCAACACGTGAGAGATTCTTCGACGCGTTGATCTGGCCAGAGCTCACACGTGCGACAGTTTCTTCTGGTTCTTTGAGGCCCGCAAGGCACCGGAGAATGCCCCGTTGGCGATTTGGCTCAACGGCGGTCCTGGCGGGTCTTCCATGATGGGACTCCTCGAGGAAAATGGTCCCTGCTTCGTCAACGAAGACTCCAAGACCACTCGACTGAACCCGTGGAGCTGGAACAACGAAGTCAACCTCCTATACATTGACCAGCCTACTCAGGTAGGATTCTCTTACGACACCCTAACGAACGTGTCTATACACGAAAGCGAGGATCCCGAACTAGGTCCTGGTAGGCAGATGCTTCCCACCGACTTCAGTGACGGTGTCCCCGAGGCCAACTTCACTTACCGGTACGGCACGGCCTCTAGCCAGAAGGCCTCGCAGACTTCCAACACGACGGCCCATGCTGCTCATGCTTTGTGGCACTTTGCCCAGACCTGGTTCTTCGAGTTCCCCGGCTACAAGCCTATCGATGACCGCATCAGCCTCTGGGCGGAGTCTTATGGAGGGCACTACGGGCCCGGCATATTCCAGCACTTCCAGACACAGAACGAGCTCATCCGGAACGGATCCTCGCCGGAGAAGAATGCCCAGTTCATCCATCTCGATACGCTGGGGATCGTCAACGGCCTCGTTGACTTCACGATCCAAGCCGAGAGCTGGATCAGTTTCGCCTACAACAACGTAAGTGAAAGAACACTTGGTGGCGTTGCATTTCTCGGAGGCTGCTGGAACCGCTGACAATGAAATGCAAAGACATATGGAATCCAAGCGTTCAACCAATCTATCCATGATGAGATGATGCATAATTGGACACGCCCGAATGGGGCCAGAGATCAGATTGTTGACTGCCGAGAGGCCCTCAAGGAGCACGGCCCGTTCCTCGCGAACGGTGGCAAGAAGAACGTCACAGAAGTCTGCGGACACTTCCTCGAGGAGTGGACCGAAGCTGTGACGCTATATCAAACGATACCCGACGGAAAGGGCTGGTACGACATTGCGCACGACAAACACGATCCCTTCCCAGCCCCGCATATGTACGGCTATCTCACGGAGGGCGACGTCCTGTCGTCACTCGGCGTGCCTGTCAATTACACGGAGGCGGCGGGTGCCGTAGGCGAGAGCTTCAGCCACACATTTGGTAAGAAAGGCCCAATCTCCTCGGGCCGGTGACCACTTTAGACGAACAGCATGCTTAGACGATTCCAGATGTAATCCTGGGCGGGTTTAGCGAGGCGATTGGGTACCTTCTCGACAATGGGGTCAAGGTTCATATGATGTGTGAGTTGGCCCGCCATGCTCTGTCCAGGGTTATCCTGCAGTTGCCATCAACTCCCTTTCGTTCTAACCGTGCTATCTCGGCTGTGTAGACGGTGACCGCGACTATGCCTGCAACTGGGTGGGGGGCGAGAAAGCTAGCCTGGCGATCCCGTATAGTCGGTCTGTTGACTTTGCAAACGCCGGATACACTCCCCTCATCACGCCGGATGGGGTGACGGGGATGACGCGTCAATTCGGCAACTTCAGCTTCTCGCGGGTCTACCAGGCCGGCCACGAGGTACCGGCGTACCAGCCCGTCACGGCGTACGAGATCTTCATGCGCGCGACCTTCAACCGGGACATCGCAACGGGGCTGACCCCCGTGACGGACGAGCTGTCGACCGTCGGCGTCAAGGATACATGGCACATCAAGAACGTCCCGCCGCCGCAGCCGGACCCGATCTGCTACGTGCTGAAGCCAGAGACGTGCCGTCCCGAGATTTGGGAGAAGGTCGTGAACGGCACCGCGCTGGTGAAGAATTGGTACGTCGTCGGGGACGCGGCTGATGACGTGGTGGTCGCGAACCCCGGTGGTGATGGCGGTGGTGCAGGCCAACAGATTTCCGAAGAGCTGTGAAAGGCCACTCCCACGCCGCTTTGCGTTGGCGCAAACGACGGTTCGGCAGCGCGCGTCGCAAGTTCGACAACTTACGAGGCAGCGGACTGAGAGATCGTCGGACAAGCGTGTTTCAGCGATTGGACGTACAATGGGGGGAAAGCCAGGAAACATGCAGCTCGAGTCGCCGTCTTACACCCTAGCGTCGGCGTCTGGTGGGTTATAGTTACAATCCGGCCGCCCTAGCTCAAGGCTTCTCCATTCGAGGCCCAGCAAACCAGATAAACCAAGGTTTAGATTCTCTCGTGTTTGCACACAAACTTTGCCCAGCGTGTGAGTAGGTGTATGACGCTAGCCTTTGCCAGGGACATGGGCGGGACGCGGGACTGATCCTGGGCCGTCCAAAAGCTTGCCACCAACCGATCGGGAGGAAGCCTTCATCGGCAAGACAGACGACCCGCCCACCTGGCGGCATTTCATCCGATCCGAGAGCTTGGGGGAACGATGACGGGAGGATGTTGCGCCGGCGGCAGAACAGCACAGGCCTCCCCGGGAGGCGCATCGCCGGGTGAGTGAGCTGGACAGGGGTAGTCTGCTGAGGCTGTGCCTGTCAGACGGGAAAGGGAACAGAGGGTTATTGACATGCTTGGGAGGGGGGCTGGGCGGCCAACGCGCGTGTAGCATCGAGGCTCCAGACGCTTGGGAAACGATCAATGCAGTGCACAACTTTCACATGCTAGTTTCGTCCGACTGACGAGAGGCGGGGGGTTCGAGATCATGTCAAAAGCCGCTGCATCCCCAACCATCTTCTAGACAATAGGGGTCTCGAGTGGGCTCTGCTCCTTGATATATAACTGTGCTGTGCTTGTTTGGTACCCAAAACTCGGACGATCGACGGTATCATTTTGGACGTGCTGAAGTATTGGCTGAAACAGAGCTGAAACCCCCGTCCCCTGGAAGAGACGAGACATTCGACCCTTTTTGAAGGCCTGCTGCCACGGAAGAACACAAGTTCCCATCAGGTCCAGAAACGACAAAAGACCTGTGTCGACTATTGGAAAACCCGTCCCTAAGAAACACTCCAAGAAGGGGAACCATTGGATACGAATACCGACACGAATACCAGATACCCACAGCATCAGAAGGGGAACACAGGACAAAAAAGAGAAACATGGACGGCAAATCCTTCTCATCACGCATTGGCGACCTGGTCAAAGTAAGCAGCAGTGCCTCCAACTGTGCAACAGGGTGACCTTCTCAAGAGGGGTGGCTCGTTAGCGCATGATTCACGGAAACGCACCACTAACGAGAAGCGACGGCTTTTAGTTTCTGTCATCAGTACAAGGCGATTTGTCCAACGTCACCGCCCCTCCCTCGTTTCTGGCGCCCTCATCCGTTGTCGAGGTCGGCCACTGCTGGTGCCAGCGGCCCGGGGTCTTTGTCGCCCCGGCGCTGGAGCCCGATGCGGAGAAGCGCAGCCTGAAGGTGCTGCGCATGATCCTCATCGCCATGCGCAGCCAGTTCTACGTCGCCGGCGCGCCCAACGTCAGCATCAAGAAGCCCCTCAACGCCTTCCTGGGCGAGCTGTTCCTCGCTTCATGGACGGACTCGGACCGCAAGGCCAGGACGGAGCTCGTCGCCGAGCAAGTCAGCCACCACCCGCCCATCACGGCGATGCACATGGGCAGCAAAGAGCACGGTATCCGCGCCGACGGCTACGCCTGCGTCGAGATGACCTTTTCCAGCAGCGTCAACATCCGCCAGGTCGGCCATGCCATCATTCACATCGACCGCTACGAAGAGGACTACCTCATCCCCCTGCCCGAGGTCAAGGTCCGCGGCTTCCTGAATGCCTGCTTGTACCCCGAGGTCCTGGGGACGTACTACATCGTCTCCAACACGGGGTACGTCTCCGAGATGAAGTTCTCTGGGAGCGGCGTCTTCCGGGGAAAGAAGAACTCGTTCGAGGCGCGCATGTATCACAAGAACGACAAGAAGAACACCATCTACGAGCTTCAAGGGTGCTGGAGCGAGGGCTGGACGGTCAAGGACGGCAGGACGGGCGAGATCATTGAGAAGTACGATGTCGACGCGCTCGAGAACCTCCCCGCGCCCATGGAGATCGAGCCGGTCCAGAACCAGGACCCGTGGGAGTCGAGGCGGGCGTGGAACGGGGTGATCGAGGGGCTGAGCAAGAACGACTTCCGGCAGACGGTGAGCGCCAAGAGCCAGGTGGAAGAGGCGCAACGGCGCATGAGGGCCGAGGAAAAGAAGAAGGGCGAGAGCTGGGAGCCGTTGTTTTTCAAGAGCATCCCGGGAGAGGAGCACGACGTGTTCCATCGGTTGGCTAAAGGCGTTGATTGGCAGTTGCACGACAAGCATACCAAGGGCGTTTGGAAGATCGACGACGCAAAGAGGGATTCGGTCCAGAGGCCGTTCAGGGGAGATTTAACTCCATTGGGATAGACCTCTTGCGTTTGCTAGATTCAATATCATGTGTTAATGTGTTACGACCAACAAGCGGCGTTCGGTTCGGCCATGAAGATGCGCCCAGGTATCAACCATCATGTACATAATCAGACGACTAATTATAAGCGCAGAACCACTTTTCCAGCCTGCCTGCCTGTCTTCCCAGAGGTAGCTGATTGCTTCTTCGGATTGTTCAAACTCAAAGACGGAATCGATTATGTCGTCGAACCCGAGTTTCGTGGCGGATATCGCGGCACACAGGTCCTCCAAATCGAGCCGTGATCCCGCACTGATGCATGCCCCTGGAACAAAACAAGCTTCATGTCGGCAACGACGAGACATCATCATGACCTTACCTTACGTTAACTCTTCTGTCAATAATTGTCGACACAAAGTCCTTCAAATGGGCCGGGTCCTGCTCGCCTAGCTACCCGACTTGGCTCACGACGCCACCACGGCGCGTGCATTTCGCGCTCTGCACGAGCGATGGGGTCCCTCCGTTCTCGACCACCAGGTCGACGCCCACGCCGCCTGTCAGCTCGAGCACATCGGTGTGCCAGTCGGGATCTGTTCTGTAATTGACGCCGTATATAGGCGCAGAGGGAAAGGCTTTCTGAATCGCTTCGATCTTTGCGTCGCTCGAAGAACTGGGGATGACCTTGAAACCGGAAGCTTGCGCATGTTTGAGTGCAAACATGGCGATGCCTCCCGTGCCTGTCTCCGTTGTCATTCGGCCAAGTCTACAAACAAATCCGCTCTTAACCTGGAAGGCGGTTAGAGACTTGCTCTATGCAAACTCGCTTCACACCTGCCCCGAGATCAACCTCAATCCGCAGTCGGACAACCTAATCATTGTACTTTGGACACCAGCTTCGGATCGAAGCGCGCAGTCCACAGCCGCTATGACGACCTCGAAAACTATCTAGTTGTTGCTGACGCCACCCGCAGCACCGTCATTCACCCGAGCAAGGATGAGGCCTATACCGATGGCAACAAGCTGGACGATATCCGCGCTCTCGATCGTGTCGCCGAGGCCCAGGGTAAAGGCCTGCATACGCCGCTGACCTACCTCGACGAGAAACACTTGTCGCGCCAGTGAAGAAACTCGCGACTCGTCCGCGGCGGATACCCTCAACAGACCATCACACGAGGACAAACTACAGTCACCTGTTAGTGGAATATTATGTCGGCAGGACAATAATGAAGCTAGTATCTGAGGCGATAGCGACGCGCAAGGCGGTACATTAGAAATAGAAGACAATTTGCAGGAGCCTGGGAATACAGTTCAGGCAAGTAGATAGACGACAGGTGGAAGGTTTTCTTACTAAGAGTTATAGAAGTGCTTAGCTAACAGTGTTATTTTATATATACTTAGGAGCTAACTCTTGCTTCCGTGTTATAAATACTAAGGGGTCTTAGGTTCGGTTATAGAGCCTTTTCTAGATTACCAACCCCTTTTATTAGGGATAATTTAGCTACTTTTAAGGCTATTAACTATAGATTAAAGCTTTAGGTAAGTAGAGCTCTAATCAAGGTATACTACATAGTATTACACTTTAGCGCTATAGTTGTAGTTAGTAGTAATATACTGGCTAAATAAAGAACAAGAAGTGTAGGACGAATGTCTGTAGAGTAGATATAGGATGCTAGGTAGTTTTTAGATAAGCTAGATCTGGACGGGTTACTAGGGAGCCACTTCTGACTGTGCCCTAAAATTACTGGAAAGCCTACAGCGCCAGGATTGTCAGTTCCTCAGCGTTCTCACATAAAAGCGTGCCAGAATGACTTGTAATACATTAGGTTAGGCTGGAAAGCAATCCGGACTATCACGACTGGCTTCTGACATCATCCTAACACCCCATAGCCAGCCAGGCTGGTTGCCGTTTTACGGATTGAGGGATAATACTTCTCTCAGACACCGCCTCTCTACCATCAGACATGCCGATCTGATCATTGTGCTTGGAACAAATGGAGAGATTGTTGAGTCGAGTACACACGAAAACCTTTTAACGAAAGAGGGCACGTATTGGACAATGTAGAACAGGCAAATTGGAAAACAAGGTCAACAAAACCGTATAGGCTGGGCCTTAAGTCACTCTGATAATCTCATGAGAGGAGTTGAGAGTTTGTAGATTTCTAGAAGAGAATCACGAGCTAGTATCAGACGCTACTGCTCGCTTTGAATTTGAGACCCCGCTGTCTTTGATCTTTACGGTGACTGAGGCGCTTGCGCTGTATCAATCTCGTCATCTTCGCCGACGCTTCTTGGCGCATCAAAAATGGCTCGCTAACATACTGCACTTGCTTCTGAACATCTGCTTCTTCAAATTTGGAGTTCACTGGGAGAATCTCTGCATGTTCAAAATCCAGAACACAAAACGCATCCCCGCACCAATGTACATTGCCCATTTTGAAATCACCAAGGTGTACACCAGATTGACGTATTAGGCGAACTGGAAAAGCCAGCTTGTGTTCCAGTGTCGCTTGCTCGAGGCGCGGCATCCCCGAATCAAGCATAGAAACACCTCCTATGTCGGATAGCAATAGAGCCCTTACGCCATCAATTTTTGCAAGACCTAAGCATTCAGGTATAACCGTTCCCTGTAAGCTTTGGAGATGGCGATATACACGGAGCTCGTTGTCAAAGAGATCCGGGTTGTCGGTGAGCTCCTTCTTGAGAACTATACGCCGAGGTAGATTGACGGAGCTGTTGCCATCGAGAGATAGCCTGAGAACGTTTTGAAAAGTCAAATCGGGTGGTAAAGAAATAGGGCCTCCGTGCGCGGTAATCGCCTTCGAATTGAACTCAAACACATACTGCAAGACGTTAACAGAATTCATGGTAACTGTCAGGGAGGCTTACTGTCTTATCCATCCTAATACCATTACCGGTTCTGTAGTAGAGTCTAAGAAACAAACTCCTCTGTGAGAAGAGGCATTTTGTGCCTTAAGTAATTCAGACAAGTGGCACGTGCGCTAGGATCACCTGAGAATGTCTCACACATGCTTGACAACTAGAATGATAATTAAGAACCGCAACTCGAAAAAGAAACGATGGAGAAGATAAAACCTGACTAATCGTATATATCCTCTTCGTCCTCCATCTGGCTGTCCTCTCCATCTTCACCGTCATCTCCCTCGTCATCTTCCTCCTCCTCGTCGCTCTCTTCGGACCACCAAAGCGGAAGAGAGTCATAAAGTTTGCCATCATTGTTGTCAAGCACCCACTTGCCATCCGGAGACATCCAAGCAAGTGCTCCATTCGTCTCGTCAACAGATCTGTAACAACCTGACGGATGTTGTGGGGCCAATTTATCGTCAGCTCTTCTCCAAAGTGGTTCTCCATTGAAAAAGCGCCATTTAGGGGCCCTCAATTCATGTGGGGTTCTGTTCGGGGCCGACGTTCCTTTTATACTCAGACCCTGCGGTGCAAGAGGACAGTACAGGTTGGTTGGTCAGGCTTATGTGAACGGCGCCATGCATGGAGAGATTGCTGAGAAATGGGAGGAGGGCGATGTAATTTGTGAAAAGGAGGACATCTGCTTGATATGACCGTCTTGATATGGAAAACCGGTATTTGAATACGAAACAAAAATGGAATATTCGACACTGTTTTCTGGTGCCGTTGGGACTGGGAAGCTAGTATGATATATAAGCTGTCCTGCTCTACACCAAGTATCTAATTCGCGTTGAGGTTACTGTGGCTTATGTAGAAGCGGAATACAATATCCTTGGTGACGCCTCGGACACATATAGTCCGGGGCCGGCCTGGACAGCAACGGTAATCAAGGTATCGCAGACACCTGTGGTCCTGTACTGTTGTCCACATGTGATCTGCAGGTATCCGATGGCTGGCTCATCAGACCATCATTTTGTTGAGAATGTAATGAAGCATACATTAACCCAGTTTGTCTCGTCTGCATTATTGCCGTCAGTTTCGGCGGCTGCTCTGACTGAACCTCAGTGAACTAGCTTAGATGCCAGGTAGGGTGAGCCCGCTTGGCCCAATTGGCCCGCCCTTGATCTTGTCAGGGTACATACACGACTAGCTAGTACCCGACTGTCTATGTCTTTGATTATATAGCTAGAGAACGGCAAGACCTTTGCTCAGGTGAAGGGTGAGGTGGTCCGCGCCGCATCTATTCATCTCGTCATTTGCCGAAGAGGCGGCACGCTCATGCAGCGAAACCATCCCGTCATCGTACGCCAGCACCACGGTCTTGACGTTCAAAGAGCCGGTGGGCGTCTGGGTATATCACCCCGTGCAAATTCTCAGTCGCTATGATCATGCGCAAGATCGCGCCTCCTCTTGCCGCAGAGTGCTCAGTCATCATCAAACCCCCCAAACGAAACTCCCTTCAGCACCCTAGCGTTCCATGTTCGCTCTTGCAGCCGGCATTCCCTCATACATCATCCATATAGTGCCAAGAATAGGGAGGCTTTAATAGAGCTTGCCAATAACTCCATTGTGAAGAGGCTCAACTTCACTAGCTCCACGGGCGTCGAAAGGTGCTTCGAGACCCATGTGATAAGCACAAGAGCCCTCCCGGATCCTCCGGTATCCGACTGAGACATAGACAAAAGTGTTCCGACGGGTTGCTTGTTCACGAGAAAGTCCAATACGAGCTCATCAAGAAGCTAGCCCGGCGCGTAGAAGGGTACAGGCCCGGCCAAGGCATCAACGAAAGTGCCATTCAGGGCCCTATCGTCAACGCCGCCGCCGTCCAGAAGCTTGACGCCCTCGTGAAGGGTGCGCCTGAGATAGGCGCCGTTATTCACACTGGCGACAAGTTCCTGGAAGATTTGAAAATATACTCCTACGAGCCTACATTCATTAGGGTGCCACGACCGAGATGGAGGTTGCGTACGACGAGACCTTTGACCTGCTGGCAGCCATTACCCCCATCGGGACCGAGACAGAGGCGGTCGAGCTGGTCAATGCGATAGAGTGCGGTCTTACCGGGTATTTCTCCTGGGACATGCGTGTGGCATGACGCCTGCATTATGGTATGCTAAGAGTCAACACCGGGCCTGATTAGCGCGGCCGGATCGCCGATTGGTGATGTGAATGGAAGTGGACTCGGTCGCGAGGCAGCAAGTATGGTCTGGCAGAGTACCACAACATCAAGTCCGTGACTATCAGCAACCTTGACTCAAAATGGGGGTGACGACTCGAAAGTTTGAGATAGCGGGAAAGGGTAAGATAACTGGCGCTCTAATGTCGGCGTGGGCAGAATGAAGCCAAACAAAAAGTCGAGTTTGTAAGTCAAGGTTGTCCCATAAAATAGACATTCTGGGACAACCGGCGTAATGACGTCCATGTCGGCGATATCCATGCAAAGACGAAGCTAGAGTCTGTTTCCCCCGTTGCCGATGCCGCGCAAAAGTTTGAAGTGTTCGAATATTCCAATTATGCTCCCGGTAATCCAACTCCCCCGCAAAGTGCATTCGTACAATGTCTCCGTAACTCTGCCCGAAACTCCAGATGTCCCGATCTTAACCATGCCTCCCCCCTCCCCTCCCAAACAAACCCTGTAAATCAAAACTCCGATCCCAGTTCCTAGTCTAACGTGCAGTGACAAAGCCGGTCTTTTGAGATTGCACTTCGAGGTGCCCCCGATGCTCCGGTTGAACGACGACCAAGTTCTTTTTTGTTTCTGCTGCCAATAACGCGCCCTTGGCCAACTCCTCTTCTATGCGTTTCAGACACTGGTTTGTGGGTGATGGGCGGTGTACTGTCAATAGCTTGACGGCGCTTGTCGCCTTTTCCAGCGATAGGACGTTGCCTCTGTAGGAGTCGCACGGGTTGGGCAGGGTGATGTCCACCTTTCCCTTTGCGAGGCACCTAACCAGGGACCCAAGAAGCATGCTGTTGCATTCTTCGGCGTCCGGGGAGCTGTGGAAGTATCCCTGCATGTATCGGCATCCTTCCTTGAGACACCTGTACAAGAGGACGAAGTGATCCAGGTTCGCGGAGATGAGCGTCTGTCTGTGCTTGGCGATGGTTTCTGTCGGATACACTGTCAGCCTTGTGCCTCTCGGTAAGTGCAATGGGTTTGCAGAACTCACCGAATACTTCCGGAGGCCGCAGGTAGACAATCTTGTCAATGGGGAAGTTGTATCCCTCTGGGCCTGGCTTCCAGGCCCGGGCCGCGTGTCCGAACACCAACCGCCCTTGCAAGTCCATCATCGACTCGCATATCATCTTCTTGAACATGGTCTGGAACACCTCGGCGTCGCCCAGCTCCCACGCGACGCAGAGCAGGTGCACATCGTCGGTGTGGTGCTTGACAGCCTGCATCCACGAGCGGGACCACGGCCGAATGATGACTGTCATGTCGTACTTCTCCGTGATGGTGAGGACCTCGTATAGCCGCATCAGAGGAAGCTGCTCGGGAACGAGGTGGAAATGGCCGTGGACGATGTTGAGCACGATTTCCATTGCCTGTGTCGAGTCCTCGGGTAGGTCGACGCTCCATTCGCCGCCGGCCTGTTCCGCACGCGACTCGGCGAACCCACCAAACAACATGGCCTTCAGGACTGGCGAGCTTCGTCCGAGTGCTCGCGAGCAGACAACAAAGTCTTGCGGGTGCTCCTCGACATCGGCGCCGACGCAGAGCCTCAGGTCGCCGTTGTCGTCGAGGTAGATGGTTGGTGACAAGACGAGCTCCGTCACCTCCGTCACTTCCTCCGTCACCACCGTCGTACAGCTGGGCATCTTGCCGCCGAGGACCGTCTTCTGGTCGATGGGCCGGTGCGGTAAAGACTCGAAAGAGAAGGTCGGGCCGCCAAAAAGGCTATTCGGGACGGTAGTCGAACACATCGTGGCACGTATCTCCGTCGGAGGCATGTCAAACTTCCTGCCCACAAGATACCACGAGAGTCGGGCGCACGCGGTTGGTATATAGGTCGGAGGGTATCAACGAGGGAGCCGTCGACAAACGGACTGGGATGTTGCCTCCCTTGGGAAGCATAAAAGGGGACTGCAAATCACAGCCTGGTGTTCCGATGGCATGACTAGTCTCTGTCGGGAATCGGACCCTCTTGCTAACTTTGGGCGAAAATGAGGGACCTCAAAATTGGGACGGAATGTATCTTAGACTATGCGGTGTAGCCTGTTGGTCCCAACAACATCTAACCTGTTTGCTACCCTACTGACATGAACCGGCGGAGTGACATGCCGAATGGGCAAGCAGCCACCCGTAACGGAGTGCTCCAAAACCCGTACCACCCTGGGCCTTGGAAACACCATGCATTCACCCCGAGAAATCCGGGTTCTGTGTGGGTGCAAACAAGGAAGACGGTGGAACGGGGGCCGGAAGAGGGGCAAGGAAAATCAGGGCAGAAGACAACAACAAAACCGGCGATCGGGACCCTTGCTGGCCTGGGATGGCCGCACTTGTGCTCTGTTACGCAGGGCTGCTGGCAGTATTATGTTGTTTGATGGTAACGCCAGCGCAAACAAATCATGCGATGAAACCAAAAGACGGTGGTAGTACCTGACTCGCAACTCTATCGCGGACCAGACTTGCAACAAAGCAAAGCTGGAAATTGCGACTGCGAGCCGGTTATGCGCTGTGAGACTCATTAAGCTCTCATTTGCGGGATGCAAAACACTGCTGTCGTCATGTCCCGTCCCCCTCGTAAACCCTAACGGTCGAATACTATTCTGAACTTCTCGGCACAATGAATCGCTGATAAATATACAGGATTTTGAACCGGCTCGGAGACCACTTGCTATGCCACAAAATCCAACTTGGGGCCAGCAAAGCCCTCGATCAGTCGTCGAGGAGGTCAGCCCGGGGGTCGAGCAGGTTGGCCCCCGCAAACCCTCCGCCTTCAGGGTCCTACACCGGGATCGCACACACCAATACGGTCATCGTGACCTTTCCTATTTCGGGCTGCAGGACCGATGGTATGCTTTTCTTTTTCCCGGTTCGAAGGCGCGCACCCCTGCACAAGTGCCGTCTGTCTTCAAGGCACTCGGAACCGTGTTGATGTGGGTAATGGTTTTCTCGAAACCTGTTATCCACGATGTGACCTTTGATGCAGGGTCTGGTGCCAAGGTTTTTCTGCATCTTCTCTGCTGGCTTCGATAATATCGGGCAGCCGGCTGAGTTGAACAACAACGTCCGTATTCCCTGTTTGTTATGTTGGGCTAGCATGACAGAGCTTGTATGGTGAATGATCCCCGCAGACACGCATGCCATTTTGCGTTTACACACGATTAAGGCTCTGGTTTCTTCTGCCTGGTGGGTGTGGTATGGTCAGGGTTGTCGCACGACATCCGAGAGACTTGTAGGGAAAAGCACGAAAAGGGGGCTGTGATACCAAAGTGGTAAGAGTTACCACTCACTGTGCACAGACAGACAGCGGCACTTTTCCCCCCTTCGGCATGGCGGAGGAGAGAGTAGAGCGGCTTCTCTTCAGATGATCACGGCAACTTGTCCTTTTTTTCGTCCACAGTAAGATCGGACGATTCTGGGCCGCACATTCCCACACATTGTCCAGTGTACGCAGTGAATGCTGCCATCAACCGAGGTCTTCGTATATTGTGAGGGAAAGAAAAGTGGGCAAGTTGTCCGATTTCAATGTTCCGATACGCCGTATCTGATAGTATTGGCTGCCGGCATGATCACCGGTCCAATGGCTGCAAAAGGCGCCGCGTCTGCTTCGAACGCTATTACGCATTAGCTCCCAGCTTCAGATGTGTTTCTGTCACGACAAAAGCCGATTGTACTTTCGGGCCCTAAAAACCATCTCCCCGTCAAGGCTGAACCCTGTAGAGCAACCTCAAGGCATTGGCCGTGTCTCGATAACTGAGTCGGCCCCGAAAGGAACGGTGAAAATAACTGCCCAACCGTGTTTAGTACCGTATCGACCTTCAGAACTGTTGGAAAAATTGACGGTTTGTTTTTGTTCTTCCACTTGGGATATACTGGAAAACGTTTTACGAATCAGTGGCTTGGCCAGCAACTAATGTTCCCTCCAAGCTGGACCGCTATGAAGGAAGACCCCCGTCCGGAAGCGCAGCTTCGCAAGTTCAGGGGTAAGGAGTGCCCAGCAGACGTTCGGTTGCCCAACAATCACGCCATCCTGATTAAGGTTGACGGCCTTATCAATGTCGGACAGTATCGTCTTGACAACCTCGAAAAGGAGGGGCGTCATGGGGCTTGATACTACTGCCGCTTCCGAAGTGGATGATTGATGATACGCGCCATTCGGGACAGATACCCGATGATGGAAGGAACTCAATGAATCTTTGCGACAGCCGGGAATAGAGTTATGGACATAGGAAGCGGTCTGGAGAAGCCAGGGGTCAAGAAACATATCGAGTCTTTCAAGGCAACATCTTACGGGCCTCCCAGGCCAGCGGGGGTTTCATCCGTGTCCCTTGTTCCTTTCACTGCATCATATGACAAGGAAGCCATTTTTGATTTGTGGTTGGTTAGCATGTACAGTAGTAATGGCGTATTAACAAGAATCTTAACTAGCTGTAAAACTGAAGACGGCTTATGATATGAGCATAGCGGATAACCTTACTGGGGTAGCTTGTATCTATACTCATTCACTTTGTTCGTGCGGATCAAGCTCGTATGCTGAAAATCAGGCTGTCTGCGGTAGTACAGGATAATAGTCAAAGATGGCAACCAAGCGTTATTGCTGGATTGATAGATTACTAGTATTTATTCACTGAGCAGAAACAACGAAACGGCTTACAGCACTATTTGCTGGCTGTCTATCAAAATTTGAACCGAAGTGTGCTGTTTAAAGCGGCTAATTATGCCAAGCTGTCTGTGGACAGGATTCTTCGCGGTGATCGAAACCGTCCGACCTCGTGGGCCAGATAAGGCAATGACCTCGTCGAAATGATTGTTTGTGTGCTCCAGAGTTCAGAGAAATTCTACATCATGTGAAAATGAAACCGCTCTCTAGGCCATAGTTTTATAGCCCCATTCTATAGGCAAACGGTGATGGAGACCTACCGTATGACCACTCAGTTATATATTCTGAGCGTCATGTCAGAGTTCTGCAGCATTGCTGGTCACGTCGAGTCAATCAAACGGTCCTCCACCTGTTGCATATGAATCGACGCACTCGTGCCCAAGATTTCGAGTTGTCTACCCGTAATTTGCACGTGGGATCCGAGTCTGTTCAAAGTTTACAAGACTATCCCCGCTCAGTAGCCAGGATATCCTGTGACTTTGGGACGGGTCAACGCTATACCTAGGATTGTTCTAAATCAGACACGTTGGAGGAAAACGAGGGTAGGAAGGGAAGGTTAAAAGAATTAAAAAAAAAGTGCCATGTCAGTCAGTGGCGATAGGACTAAACTCTACAGCAGAGTTATCTGAACATTGCATCGTCCAGGGCTGTCGACTATGAACGAATCGGAAACCTCAGACTTGCCGATTGGGTTTCAATCAAAGATCAGATTTCGAAGGAAGCCTAAGTCGTACGGCAAATCGATGGAATGAACGTGCTTGGCGATTTCCGCACATGTCGGTGAACGTTGGAGAGACACCATCTCACACACACGTCTGGCTCATCGAATCAGGCGTAGCGGAAGATGATGTCACGACATGAGATGAAGCCGGACTCGCCGGGATACACTGGCTGAAGAGAGTTGCATGGATGGGGTTAGTAAAAGCGGTGACGAGTGTAAATCATCGGAGTCTTTTGTTATATCCATGTCGGGCCGCAGGCGCGCAACGGTTCTGCCGCCAAGTCACCGGTGCCGATGATGCTGCTATCAAGCAACCGAGCTGCTGAGTCGCGCCGACTGACACATTGGACGGCTTATTGCAGTCGACGCCCGCCTCTGAAGCTGGATGAATCGGTGACGATGGCGACCAGCGGTTGACGGGTTGTGCATACGGTGACCGTACCCCACTGGATAAAGTCGGTTGCCCGGGAAGCGGTGCTCGAAAGTAATGGGAGAATGCTGCATGTTGGATGGTGAATGCTTCCGTCACGCTACTACGTTCCTGCATGCTCAATTTATCCAGAATCGAAAATTCTCCTCATCTGCACCCCGGGCTCGACCCGCCCCAATGATGTCGTCTCGTTTCGACGATCTAGTCTACCTCCCCGCATAGCAAAATGCGGAGGAGGGCAATTAGCCAGGTCATTCTTGGCATGGGAATGGCATGATTGATTCCATCTAGATCGTGCTGCCTATATATCCCGCGAGGGATTCACAGGTCTCTTTGCTGGATGAGAAGCCGGTGATCTGGGGTGACTTTTGCCCGTATTCGGTATCTGCACACTGCAAACAGCACGATTCAAGATGAAGTCTACTTGGCTCATTGTCCTCGGTGCCGTCACGTCCGTCGTGACGCAGGAGGAAGACCCCGAATCTCGACGACAGAGCTACCCCAACTGTGTCAATGGGACCCTGTCCGGCAACAAGGTCTGTGACCGCACGCTGTCCCCGTCCGAGCGTGCGGCTGCTCTTGTAAAGGCCTTGACCGTCGAGGAGAAGCTGCAGAACCTAGTCAGGTACGTCATGGAAACAAACAAATAAACAAACGGCGTCTTTTTCTTATTTTTTGTACTTTTTTTTTAAATTTTTTTACTGACGTCTCGTGAAGCAAGGCGCAGGGAGCTCCCCGTATTGGCTTGCCTGCGTACAACTGGTGGAGCGAAGCGCTCCACGGCGTGGCCTACGCTCCGGGGACGTATTTCCCCGAAGGCGACGTAGAATTCAACTCATCCACGTCGTACCCAATGCCGCTCCTGATGGCGGCGGCGTTCGACGATGAGCTGATTGAGCAGATCGGCGCCGCCATCGGCATCGAGGCCCGGGCCTGGGGCAACGCG